TCCCACTGCCCCCTGCCAACCGACAGTTCGTCGGCCTCGATATCGCCGGGGCAGCCGCAGCCCTAATCGCATGGCTCGAGGATGGAAAAGTCGCGCCGCTGAAAGGCCAGTCTCCTACTGATCATGGCCACCCAGCCCGTGGATGGAAAATCGCGCCTGGGCCTGTTGCGAAAGTACCGGCGCGCGCCTGGAACGCAATCTGGCGCTTCCCCGGCTTCCGCGCCGTCTTCTGTCGGAAGGCGCCCTGGTCGTCTGGCGCCAAGTCGTCTCTAGATGTTGGTCGCCCTGCGAGAGTGGCCACGAGGTTGCGTCGATGCGCAATCTTGCCCCGCAGGGGCTCATTGCGACGGGGCGCTGCTGCGGCGCTCCAGGCTGGGATCATGTGTCCTGCGATGTCCAACCCCCTATGTCGGCTGCCCAGCATTGCAGAGGTACCCTCGCGGCCTGCGGCGCGGGGCCAGGAACGCAGTCCGGGGCCCCCAATCGATTTCCCATCCGACCACCCTGGCAAGTTTTATTCTCCTGCCACGGACGCGCCGGGGTCAAATTTGGGAACTTGGATCTCTGGACAAAGGAAAACGGCATTCCCGAGCGACTTCTGCACGCTCCAGAACAGACGAGATATCCATCGCCCCACGGTAGGGGCAGGAGAAGCATCGCCCTGAACTCCGTCGGCGCAAGGGCATCGCCGTCGCCTCCGTGGATTTGATGGAGAGACCGTTGCGGCTCCGTCCAATCGACACAGCCAGACCCCAGCCCCGGGTCAATCTTCATGCCGTGGAAACGCCGGTCATAGACCAGGGCCCGGGAGACTGTCGGGGCCACGGCGCCACTGACGATGACTCTGAAAACATGATGCACGTCACTCAAATTTGGACGGAATTCCGCGGCGAGCGAGCCATCTGGGAGAGCCCAGATGCAGCCGTGCCAAAGATTCGAGACGAGAACATCGCGATGCACGAACCTGACAGCGCATGCGGATTGCCCAGGCTGAAGACTTGCTTCAAGGCCTTGCTCGCAGTAGTCCCTCGACCACCCGTTCGGCCTAAGCCTGCGCGGGACAGCATCGGGATGCCTCCCGCATATCATCTCGAGACCTTGACGGACCAGATCAACTGCTCCGCCGGCAATGCCCCCCCCGGCTTCGACGACACAGTCGTCGACAGCCGGGCAATTGGGCCTCTGAGTGGGAAGAACGTTGAGGCACTTGCACTGTCTCGTCCCACGGAGGTCCTTCTCTGGGGCAACCACCGCCCCTACCATCGACTGGATCACGGAGGCGACGTCGAGCGGCGCGACGATGGCCGCGCGCAGATGCCTGACAGACGGCTCGCACTGGACGCGGACACGCTCGGGCAATATCACTCAAAACAGCCGCAGGCACGGACCAGAAGCGGCTGACCCGCACGCCCCTCGATCTCGCGGCCGCCAATCCCATCGTTACAGGACGGCCGCATACGCCCGAAGCTCGTGTCCCAAGCGGATGGCCTAGCAACGGCGCCGTCACCATCTTTGCTGCTTTGACGCCGAGGGTCTGCGCGGCGTCGATGGGCAACACGAATAAAACGCGCAAGAATCGCGCCGAAGCCCTGTCGTAGCCCTCGCCCTCGACAATATCCGCGATGACCTTCGCTTCCACACCTCCTCCCGAGCTGAGTACATCTGCGGGGCTGTGCCTCGCCAAATTGTAGATGAGCGACGCCAGCCGCTGGGCTTCCTCATCCCCGACGCCACCGCGCCAAGCAGATTTACCTCGGTTCTCGCGCAAGCGCATCGGTGCCCGTGCGCGAGACACGCCAGGGAGCTCGCGGGACTATTGCGTTGTACCGCACGCGGAGGAATCGATGGGCGATCTGGTGCCGCTGCTCTGATAGCGACCTCATCTGGCCAAACAGCGCATCACCGATGAAATCCCTCGCGACCGCTAGCGGCCTGGCCAGGAGGCGCTCGCACGTGCCCCTGAACTCGTGGGACGCCGAGCCCGGGTCGCGCGACTCCACTAGCGCCCTAGCACCGTTTGGCGCGATGGCCAGGAAGCCTTCGCACCCGAATCCCGGCATGTGCAGGAGCAGGCGCCGCGCCCAGCACGCCACAGGTTCTCGTGGGCCGCGCCCCCCATCTCAGACGACAGACGCAGCAGCTCCTCCGCGGACACCCGCGGGCCCATCGGCGGCGCTGGCACCCCCGCAAGTCGGGGATGCATCCGACGAAAAGTTTACGGCAGCTTGTTGTCGGTGATGATTGTGAGAGGGACAATGGCCGGCGCGAGGTAGACGAAATCTGCCGCAAGCCCTCGGCGGCGCGCAGGGCGGGCCAGGGGGCGCGCTGGCACAACCGGCGCGATCCCCGTCGGCCTCCTCCCCTGAGTCCTGCGCTTCTTCGTCGGGTTCCTCCTGGGATTATGATTCGCCGCCCTCTTCTGACTCGCTGTCCTCGTCGGAAGACGATTCCTCGTCTGAGGCAGACTCGTTCGCCTGCAGTGAGATGCGAGTCCGGGCACCAGCGATGCGCCCCTCGCTGTCTTCGACGGGCTTCGGTACCTCGGCAGTCGGGGCATCGGATGCCGCGACGGTCGGACCCTCGGGCGCCGCCACAGGCGGGCCTGCGGGCACCGCGGCAGGCGGGCCGCCACCCCAATCAGGGTTCGAACCCTCGGGGCCCCCAGCGAGGGGCTCGCTGCAATGCCGCGAAGCTCCTCTGCCTCATCGACGTTAATGCCTGCCTCACGATCCTTCAGACACTCGTCGAGATTCTCGCGTAGTCTCCTGGTCAGCGCCCATCTGCTTTTCCACCTTCCCGCCCGAGTCGCCCAGACACTCCAGCGCCTGCCCCGCCATCCGTTCCTCGCACCACTTGTCGAAGAGCTCTTTCTCATGCTCATTGACTTCGATAGGGGGCGTCGTGCATATAGGCATCCGCACAGCAACCATACGCCCGCTGGCGAGGAGCATACATATCAACGCGCAGCGCCGCCGTCGTCTCGCAGAACTGGCACGCGAAAACCGGAGGAACACGAGCGCCCTCCACCACGTCGCCGCGCGTCGCGCAGCAACTGCCCAGGCGATGGGCATAGATATATCTGCTGACAGCGTGACTTCGAATAGCATGCAAACACATCCTCATTCCTCTTCTCCACGGCACGAAGGGACAGGACGGTCGTGGGTTTAGGCCAGCGCAGCGGAGCTCCTGGACGCGGGTCTTTCGGCTGCTACGGGGGAGGGCCAGAAATGCACGGGAAAAGCAGCTCGCCGTCGACATAGTACCTGGGCGCGAACCCAGCGCGTCTTAGACAGCCCCGCCCGCGCAACCGGGCAGCACTTCTGGCCCTGCGCCCTATCGGCTGAATTATGGTTCCAGAGGGGGCGCCAGCGGCGCGGCTGCTGGGCGCATCCTCCTCTCCCTCGGAAGACGCGTCTTTCTCGGCATCGTCTGGTTGACGCGCATGCACGCCATGAAGTCTTCATGCGCGCGGCGCGCCCAGCGCGCGTCGGGCGCCACGCTAGCCAGCGCCAGCACTCCCAGGTCGACGCCAGCCTTCCCGCGGCAAGCCGCGAGCTGGTTCTCCGCGGGGTTGACGCGATGTGGCCCGTAAAAGGATTCCGACTCGAGCTCTGCCCTCCAATGCGGGAACCCCGTCCATGCCGCGCCATTCTGGCGGCTGCATTCGCGCAGGAGCTCGACCAACTTGGCCCTATCGGAGGAGACGTCAGCGAATGCGGGCCATCTACCGCCCACTGCACAATTGCTTCCTGGCCCCCCGCAACCTTCGCCGTCTCTCCTAGGGCGCCAGGTCGCAAGCCGAAAGGCCCTGCACTTCCCCCTTCTATTCCACAGGGGTGCCTGAACTGCCCCCCGAACGTCCGCGTCTTCAGGCCCAACTCCTTCGAGCGGGCGCGGGTCGACGATCACCTTGCAATCTGGCTCGAAGAGTTCGCCCGTGGAGATCTCCAGGCGAAACTCCCGCAGCTACTTCGGTTCGGCCTGCTGCGACGAGGCGATTTGCGGGCGGAAAGCAACGCGAGAGATGTTCGACTGGCGACTGCAGCAATCATGCCGGCGGCCCCCCGCGCCCGAACCAACCGCCGCGAAGCCGTCGGTCGCACCTATCTGCGGGGATGGGGCCCTCAGCTGGAAGTCAAAAGAGACGCCCGGGCCGCCCCCGAACATGCCCCGCGCCGCCGCGCAAGTGGCGCGGCATCCTGGGATGGCTTCAGTGTCTTCAAAAGCATGCATTCCGTCAGCCACTTCTCCCGAGCCCTTGAAAGTCTCGTGCTCCTGCGGCCATCGACGTCGCGCGAGATGGCGAACGCGCCAGCGCTGAGCGCGGCGCCAAGCCGCTTGGAGTCGACAGCGCGCGAGAACAACGGCCAGCTGGCTTGCTGCAAAGCCTCAACGACGCCGTTCGGCAGGTCGAAAGGGGTAGCGCGGATAGCCTCGCATTCGCCCGCCTCAATCTCCATCCCCCCCAAGTCGAACAGGTCGCGCAGCATCGCGTTCTGGATCGCGGCGGCGCACAGGCGCCGGGTCGATGACATAGCGACCAGGGCAGCTGAGCGCCGGCTTCGGCGCGCGAGCGGGTCGCATCCGCCCGACCAGCCACGCCCTCGAGCCCGCGTTCGCCCCCGTCTGTTTGCACCTGCCATCGCCCATCCATCACCAGGGCCCGCTCGAGCTTCTTGGGGGCAAGTCCTTGTGGAGGAAACTTCCACGAGAGGAGATCGTAATCAACTTCGCTATCAGGGCCGACCACTCTTCCCTTCAATTTGCCCCTCAGCACAGCCCCTGTTCTGCCTTGACCATAAATGGCGGCTGCCTGGGGCAATCATCGCAAGTAAAGAATTCGCTTGGACATCCCATCGGCTCGCCGTCGACACTACACCTCAGATTTGCGCCGAGGTTTTCAATTCTGGGGCGTCCGAGAATGCTGTCCTACATCTTCTGCCGGCCGAAGAAAACATCGCCCTCCTTCCAGCAGGGGCCGCCCTTGGTCCTTTCGTCGCCTCAGGGGCCTCCGCGGTGATCGTCTCGGACTTCTCTACCGCCCTCGTGCATTTGGCCATGCATTCGTCGGGGTCCAGCCTGTTCCGCGCGAACGCGGGCGTCGAGGTGACCCCGGGCAGAGAAACCGCGTCGTCGACAGGGGCGCGTAGACTGGCGCGTCGACCCACAGAGCATTCGGCGCCAGCGACACACTCCGCACCCAGTCCGCGAACTTGGCCGAGTCGGCATCCACGTGTGGAAGCTCCTGAATGACGGGCATGTCACACTCATGGAACGGCAGGAGCACGCCCGTCTCACAGGCGATCAGGAAGCCAGCGATGGAAACTCCATTGGCCAGACAGTTCACCTTTGCACGATCGCCAACGGCGGCGCAGACACCACGCCGCGGATCAAATGGCCCTGGTTGAGGTCCACGCACGAACGGCACGATTTCAAGACATACCTGGCCGTGTCCGCGGCGAAAGCTCCTCCACTGCGACCGCGAAGTGTCGGCAGGAAATGCCAGGTGCCCCCAGAGGGGTGTCCTCCTCACCTATGCAGCTCAGAGCCCCTGATCCAGAGCCCCCATCTCCTCCCAGTACAACATGCGGTTGTTGGCAGAGCCGCAGCTCAGCTGGCAAGCGTGTTCCAAACCGCGCGTGCACCGTCGGTCGAAAGGATGCCCCATGGCTGGGCGCCGCCAAGGCCGAAGACATCCATGTAGTATCCCTCGGTTCTGGCGTATCCTCCCTGCAGGTCGACCAACTGTTTGACCTGCTCGAGCACCTCTTGCTTCAGCTGGAAATAAAGCTCTCCGCTAACCGTGCTGCCACTCCAAATGACGACTCGACCTTGATGCCCATATATCGTGCCATCGTTTTTTGGATCGCCCAGCTGACTGGCACATTTTCCATGTCGGAATCACAGATCTCGTCCAGGGACGCTCCTCCTCGGCTGTAGCCGAAGCATCCTCCAGATTGCCCCATGCAGCTCGTTCCCCAGGAGATTGACCGACGGTGCCTTGCCCTCCACTATGTGGAAGATGGTAGCTGACTCCGTCAAGAGCATGATGTCCACGTCGAGGTACTGCATGCCCTTGTAGGCATTACCCCATCCAGGCGATTACTCTCGGACCCTGCCTCGCGTAGGCAAGGATGTTCTGCCCGAGGATTCTGGAGTGGATGCCTGCTGTCTCTAGAAACGCTGAGAAGGCGGCACGACACTGGGTGAAGCTCATGTGTTGTAGATGTTCGACAATTTGAGCATTCGTCAGTTCCGCCGATCTGGTCCCCATGTCTCGGGCGAGGGACATATGATCCTCTAGGGGCTGGAAGCCACCAACCACCAAGAACCCCACTCGCCCGTCCTTGACGTTCCTCCTGGACTGCAGGTTCGCACACTCCCAGGCCCCGTTGACCCCCGTCTTGGATCGCACTCGCGTCCTTTTGTCGATGAACCGCGGGGACGGGGGCTCCTCGCCAGCTCCGCTGACACAGTCAGCGGGAGCCGACACCATTCCAGGAGGGGCGTGCCTCTGATCGTCTTCGGCAGCCTGCACGACGACGTCCCCGTCTCAAGCGTGCTGGCAAAGAGGCGCCCACTGCTCTGGCTGCCGCGGAGGTGTCGCTCGGCGCGTCCACCTGTGGCCAGCTCTGTTGCCCGGGGCGGCAGCCGCAGGAGACTCCTTTAGCTGGGGCTGCCGCGGACCCGGGGCAGTACCCCTCGTCCGAGCGGTGCCAGCATGCTGCATTCCCGTCGCCGGCCACGGCAGTGCCTTGGGCGGCGCGTCCTGCCCAGCCCCAGGGAAGCCCGAGGCCGGGCCACTGCGCCCAGCCCTCGCGCGGCGGCGGCGGCTGCGTCTGCGACGGCGGCGGCCTGGCTGGTGGGGGAGGCGCTGCATACGCCTGTAGCTCCGTCCGCTTCAGGGGGCGCACCAAGAGGAGGCGGTGGTGGCGTCCGCGCCCGTGGCGGCGCCGGTGGCGGCGGCGGCGGCGGCGCGTTGCACGTAGCTGCCGGCGCCTGCCTTCCTCCTCCTCCTCCTCCTCCTCCTCCTCCTCCTCCTCCTCCTCCTGCTCCTGCTCCTGCTCCTGCTCCTGCTCCTGCTCCTGCTCCTGCTCCTGCTCCTGCTCCTGCTCCTGCTCCTGCTCCTGCTCCTGCTCCTGCTCCTGCTCCTGCTCCTGCTCCTGCTCCTGCTCCTGCTCCTGCCGTAGCCACTTTGGCTCAAGATGTTGAGTTCCTCAGGGGAACAAGTGGATGCCGCTAGTCCGCGGCAGTGCCAGGGCTGTTCAGCCCGACGTCTTCTCTCGAGACCTGTACGGGGAGCTACGCGCTGCCGTCCAGAGTCCCAGCTCAGCCCGCCGCCATGTCGGATCGCAGGCGTGGAGGCGGCAAGTCCCCAGCTCCAAGGGTCTCCTTCTCGTCCGACTACGTGGGATGCAAGAAGTGCGGCTACCGTTGGACCTACAAGACCAAGCAGTCCTGCTACAGCTGTGGGCAGGCCCTGCGACCATCGTATTCTCCTGCTCCCAAGCCCCGTGGCGTCTGGGCTAGCGGCAGCGGAGGCTGGTGGCAGGACAACCACAAAGGCCAGGCCGACTGGTACCAGGAAGCCGAGGAGACCCCGCAGAGGACCGAGCCGCTCGCGATCGGCGAGGTGGTGCAAACCCTTGGCGGGCAGGCCCTCTCCGAAGCCCAGCGGCAGGCGCTCCAGCAGCTCGAGAGCGCCTTCGCCCCGCCGGCCCCTGCAGAGCGCCCCGCGCTCCTGGAGGAGGGCATCCAGCGGGCGGCCGCGGCGGAGAGGGCTGCTCGTCGGGAGCTGGAGAAGCGTGCCGAGCAGCTGGCCGACGCCAAGCTCTGGCTCGACGAGTGCCAGGCTCGATCCGATGCGGCAGCTGACGCCCTGGTGGGTGCTGAGGTCAAGCTGGCGCAGGAGAAGAAGGCGTTGGCGTCTCCAGGCAAGGGCCCTCAGCCTGAGGGGACCAACAAGGGCGGCGGGGTCATCGACCTCTCTGCCCTGTTGGGCGAAGGAGAGGCCAGTTTTGTCATCGAGGACGGCCCCCTCTTCGACCTGGAGGGGCTGGACATCACATCCGAGCAGCGGCAGCAGTTCAACAAGCTCAAGCAGACCTTCGAGGCGTCGGTGCAGCAGGCGGTCCGCACGCACTTCGGGCCAGGGGCTGACGTCCTCAAGTCCCAGCGCGAGCAGCTCGAAGAGATCAGGATGCTCCGCGAGACCTTCAAGAAGCGCAGGCGTGAGCACCCCCCTGCGGCTGCGGCGGCGACAGAGGCGTCAGCGCCCCAGACCCCCGAGGGGAGCCCGCCGCAGGCGCCTGCCCAGGCCAAGCGCGAGGACCCCCCTGCGGAGGCGGCGGCTGCAGAGGCGCCAGCGGCCCAGAGCCCCGAGGGAGGCCCGCCGCAGGCGCCAGCCCAGGCCTCCCAGGAGGCCCAGCAGGCTGCCCAGCCCGCCGCGGAGCCGCAGGGTGCCCAGGGCGCTTCGCCTGGCGCTGCCAGCGCTGACGCTGGCCCTGACGCTGGTCGTGAAGCCGCTGGCAAGGAGCTGGCGGAGGCCTTGCAGCGCGCCAGGGCTCGCAGGGCGGAGGCAGTCGCCAAGCCAGTACCTCTTTAGCCCGCACGGGCTCGGCAGCCTGGCCTCCACGGCTGCAGGTACCAGTACACAATGCTCTACATGGTCGGGTTCATGGCATGAGCCCAGCACGTCGCAGGAGCCAGAACCTGTCAGAGGGTCTCCTCCTGACGCAGTCAGTACATCCTTCTCTACATGGTCAAGTTCACCGAGAGCGAGCCCTCCACGTCGTCGAGGCAAGGGCGGCACGCGCAACGTGGGGCTCGAGTTCATAGGCTTCAACTGTTCACCTTGGGCGCAGGCGATTGGTGTTTTGGATGAGGCCGCTACAAGGAAGATCGTTGGTCCCATGCACATCACGTTCCTTCAGGAGCATAAGCTGAGTGCGCCCATTGCCAAGGACATCGAGGCGGCCAGCTTCAACAGGCACTACACGGCAGCATTGGTTCCAGCCGTCAGCGGCCCAGGCGGACGTCCGACTAGTGGAGTTGGTTTCCTCGTGCCAAGGAATGTTGGCCTTACACATCTTGAAGGCATGAATACGTTTGATATCTCACCTCCTGGGTCGCCTGGCCGCGTGGCAGTGGGCTGGTGCTCTGCTGGACAGAAGGGTGGCCTCCTGATTATCACGGCATACTTTTGGACACGTGAAGGTTGGACGATTCGAAATTTGTCAATTCTGGAGGCCATTGCAACGGTCATCAAGCAGTATGACATACCGCGGGTATTCCAAGCAGACTTCAACGAGACGGGGGAGTCTTTACTCAAGACGGGTTGGTGCCAAGATGTGGGTGGAGTTGCGCGACTCCCTTCCACTACCACGTGTGCAGGAGTCGGCGGTGGCAGTATCATCGACTTATTTGTGGTCGACGCCCGCGTCCAGCATGCTTTCGGAGACACGGTAGAAGTATTAGACACCGCAGCTGCACCTCACTCGCCCATTCGCCTAGTCATGCAGTCCAGGATGCGAGCAAAAGGCGGCTGGAGGCTTGCCAAGCCCAGACCTTTCCCAATGGAGAGGCCGTGCGGACCAGTCCCGCAGCCTGCACAGTGGCCAGCTTTCGATCATCAGGACGATTTAAATGGCACCCAGCTTGACCAGCTTTGGAAGCAGATTTCACACTGTGCTGAAACAGAGCTGGTAAATCTCCTGGGCGTGGAAGAACCCCAATCCTACCTCGGTCGGGGCGATCCTCCTCGGTGGACCTGGGCCCCCCTCGCTGGTCCTCAATCGCACGCGCGCCCCAGGGGAACGCCTAGCTCCCGAGCTTGGCGGTGGGTCGCCGCACGAGCCAGTGATTTTATTTTCCTCGCACAAGCTGCCCAGCAGGAGGGTACCTGGATGCATGCACGCGCGCGACGAGCAAAGCTCGAGCGCCGCATCGAAGGAGGAAGGAGTCGGCTGGTTCACGACTTGGGGGAGGAGGCTGAGCACGTAATCGCCCAGTTTGAACGATATCGCGCCTTTTGTCTTGAGGGCCCAGCGCTCATGGAGCAGGCCCCCGAGATCATGGGTCTCCAGCGGCGTGCTGTAGCCAACGCTCAGACCATCGAACGGCAGCAGGCAGCCACGCGGTCAAAAGAATGGCGAGAACGTTTGAAGACGGAATCGGCAGCAGGCTCTTCTTTCATCCACAGGATCAGCAAGTGGCGTACCCCTCCTCCCCCCGTCACGGGTTACTCCGTCTCCAACCTCGAGCTTGCTGATCCTCAGGAAGCGGCCGACAGGGCCGCGCAAGAGTGGTTTGACGTCTGGGGCCCCCATGGACAGGAAAGCACGGGTC